GGCATCAATTAGTTGTTTATGCACAAACTATCGCTTTCTTTTGCCTCCTCCGGTTTACGGCGTTATTTGCAAATAAGTGCATTTAGACAGAAGTTTGAAAATTACAGAAAAACAGTTTCTGGAAGTAACTGAGGATAATTATGTGGAAAATATTTTCATGTAAATTACATGAAACAATTCTTAAATCACATAAAAGGGAACGTAAGTTAAGTTTAAGCACCTTTTTTTCGCGTTCTTTTCCTGCTCCTTCCTTCTTACGTAACACTTGGCATAAAAAAAGACCTTTATCAAAACTGCACTTGAAAATACTGTGTCTGCAAAGCTTTCCAGTGGTAATTCGCCACATTAAAAATAGATAAGCTTAAGAGCTTGCGGTGCTTGAAGTGTGAATGTTTACCCACGTTAGGAGGTTTGAATGGCACTGTCTGCGGCTGATTTAGATTAGATGTGAATTATATCATCTTCTTAGCTCAGCATCGAATACATCCCCATTTTTTTGATACATAGAAACTATTAAGTATATCTGTTATTCAATATGGAAATGCATATTTTCAGCTGTACAGTTAATATTTCACTATTTGCCTTTCCATAGGAAATAGCCATGGTGTCATTGGTTTCTTTTTTTTTTTTTTCTTATTTCTACAGAGTTACGTGTGATGTAACATTTTTCAGGACACTAAGAAATGCAATAGATATCAAAATACTGCATGAGCACGATTAGTAATACATAAAATAGCACTATAAAATTCTATTAGGGTGACCCTTTCTGTAAACTGCTCACTTTTTAGACATTGTTTTGTATAAGCTTTAGAAAAGGGCAGGGTTAGTCTCTCAAATCATGCAAAGAGGGAGATTTTTCAAAGTTCAAAATACATCTGAGCTGAAAAGTATTACATTTTATTTTAATTTTGTTCATGTTTGTTCTTGGTTATAACTTTTTACATATTTTTTCCCTGTTAAAACTTACAAACAAACTTAGTAGCTAATCAAAGAGTATCTATTAAAATAAACTTCTTAAAATCTGGCAGTCTGGCACAGGTAAAATCTGTGCTGCTTTTGGTAATCATAGAATCATAGAATCACAGGATAGTTTGGGTTTGAAGAGACCTTAAAGACCATCCACGTCCAACCCCCTGCCATGGGCAATGTTGGTGTTGAAGTGTTAAGGTTCTTAAAAAAAAGTGCCTTCACAGGAATATATCTGCAATTTATAAAATATATGCAATATTGCAACACAAAATCAAAGCAGGAAATCAACGTATCACCACGTTTTAAATCCAGCCCTGCTAAAATGTCCAGTAGCCTTTTTAACAGATGCTCAGAAGAAGATTTTTCTCTGCATCTTTGCAAGCACATTTGCTTTTTCTTTACCTTTTACAGTTCAGTATAGTGGAAAGAGAAAAGTACCACAAAACATAGTCCCATATATATAAGTAAATGCATTGCAGCTAATTATAAGTAGGGATACCACGTGGGTGCATTGCTAACCCTGAGCTGGAATCACTGGATCTTCCTGGGGCACTGAATCCTTCTCCCCTTGAGCATTGTTATCTTGTTGAAATGCATGCCAAGACTTCTTTCTTGCTTTCCTCGTATTTATGAGGAGAAACAGATGCCTTCTCAGTGATGGTCATCCTCTTTGACCTCATGATCCAAGGTCTAGGCTGACCAGCAGAAAACTTCACCGATTCTTGTATTTATATGTGCTGACGTGTTTTGCTGTATCTATCTGGAAAATATACTGCTAGTTGGTTGGGTTTTTTGTCCCCTGATCTTCCACATACAACACAGAAAAGAAAAGCATACAGAGAAAAGTTTCTAGGCAATTCACTTCAGGTGCACCCAACACATCGGCATTATTTGATTCTTCAGTGTGTTTTGAAAACGTATTTCAAATATTTAGTTCTGTAAGTACACACATAGTATTGGCCTATTGGCCTGAAAGCTCACAATGCTACCCTAGAGATTACAAGGGGATGGGGTTTTATTCTAAACACGTGTTCTTTTAAATATGAAGAGTATGCTGAAAGTTGAGCTTTCTGGACACTAGGACTCATCTTCTTATGGCTATATGAGCTCTAAGCAAAATGTAGATGGTGATACGATGGGTTGGTTCACATAGTTCCAGTACCGTTTTTGAAATGCTGATTTTATGTAATGTCCCAAGATATAGCCAGACTGAAATAAATTATATGCTACCTATCTATTTGGAAATTTTCTCAAAGAGCTGTGTTACTGGTGATTTGAAACACCAGAGGTGTGAGGGTTGGCTGTTGAGCTGGTGGAGTTTGTATTTGGAAAGTAATTTCGTGACGGTAATTTCATTCACATTCATATTACTTGAACTGGCTAGTTGGATTTGTACCAATTACTGTTGCCAAAACAATCATCACACATTTCAGACATGCCAGTAAAAACATGTTCCGTTTGGGACAAATTTTTGAATAGTAAATGTTGACTCTTTTTCCACTTGAATACAAACACCTGATTTCTCCTCCCATTTGGAACAGCACAGATACATTGTGGCCTTCTTGCCTACTGTCCAGTACTCTTTTAAAAAAACCTAAAACCAATTTCATCCCTAACTGGATGCCTAAGAGTGGAAAAATTTCTAAATTAGATGAGGGACTGGGTGTTTGTCAAGCATTTCATAGATCTTTAATTCATGGATACTGTTAAGCAAATGCATAGAAGACATTCTTATCCTCATTGGACCTGCTTAAATGCTTTAAAAATAGACTACTTTTTGATAAAATGATAATGTAATGTATTACTAATAACTTGTTATAAAGTGAACACCAGAGAATGTCCAAACTGGATGACATTGAAGATTTTTACCAACACTAACGTTAAAGATTCAATGAAATGTGCTGACAAGTATGAAGTCACTATCTTTAAAAGGAATCTGCTGATTTATTGTTCAGCTTCCATTAGCCAGGACTGCTGGATTTCTGTGTTATACCTCCAGCAGTAACTGTTTTGAACATATTCCATTTAGCATTTTCAGTTATCGTCCTCCTAAGCAAACAGCTCCTATATGCAGCAAATCAAATTAATTAAAAGGAATCAATTCAACTGGTAAAATGGTGTTTTGGAATGAGTCTGAGGACCATAAATTCAAATTAAGGCTTGCATGACTTCTTCCTGGGTTTGGAGAGCCTCCTTGGTACATTAGCAGAAGGAAAAAGGGAACCAGTCACCCTCTTTAACATCCTTCACCTGGGATGTTTGCAAAATAACTGCACTGAGGGCTCATACAGCCAGATGTCATAAACATATCCTAAACCAGAGAATGAAGCAGACAGACATAATAGCTATTAATTGAACCTAATGTTAGTATTTAAATAAGGTTAAGTATGTTAACCATGCAAGTAGTCATGTATGAGTGGAGTAATAGGAAGTTAATTATTGCAAAACTTTGATTGTGGACACAGGGTGTTTATAATTTCATTCATAGTGTGCTTTGCTTGTTCTGATACTTCTCCACTCCAGGCAGTGATGTGGGTTGTCAGATTCAGTTTTTAAGGTAGGGGTATGATGGATATATGCTAATTTATCCATGTTCATTGAATATATTTTTCCTAACTGTAATTTGACGATCAGGTTGTACTACGGAACACCTGCTCTTTTTCTGGTGTTGGTAAGCTTTTAAATACAGTTCCAAAAAGTGCACACCATGCTGTATTGCCAGTGATTGTCCTGTTTTTGCAAATGTGATGGATACAATATGCTCTTCCCACCGCTCTGTACTGCATTTGATTTATTCACCACTCCAAACCTGTATATGGCTTCTGCTTTTTGCAGTCGGAATGAGGACCAAGGAAGCGTGGGGACAGGATTAAAGTATTGCTCCTGACATGGGTTTCCTAAAAGCAGTCTTTGTTCTGCTGCTCCTCCACATGTCTCCTGCTTTACAGGATCATCCCATGGCTCATTTATAATCTACTGGATTTAATACTTGAAAATATGATTTCTGTATTCAGTATTCATGCTTTACCTTTAGTCTTCAGCTGGTCTGAACTGGGAGCCTACGCTTCGCTATCTACTTAGAACAGAAATAGATTAATGTTAAAGGGATATCAAACTCTTAAATATCCTCAAAATTTGTAGAAGAGATAGATTCACATTACTGAGCATTATGTAGGCATAATTAGAGTGATACAAAGTTTAGCTGACTACATATCAGCGCTATTTCTGCATTTATGATCCTGATTTTCTGCAAGGGAATACTATGTGACTCTTAAGGGTTTATATTTAATTAACTGCTAAAGAAAATCAAAATCATCTTCATATACTTTTTCTTCAGTTTTTCAGTTTAGGTATTAGGTGGTATTAGGACTTTATCCTAAACTAGAATTGAGTATTCACGTGGAGAAAGGGAAGAACATGACATGATGGTTTTTTCTGGGTGTGGTGGGTATACCTGATGGCCAAAGAAACAAAGAGTCAGTTTTGTGGTTATTTTGTAACACAGGCTTGTCACTGCAAGAGAAGGACCACCATTGGCATTAAATAGTTGGGTTGGACATCACAGGGCTTGTGCTTAACTTCCAAAACCCCTGTTAGCTCTTTCACTGTTTCTTCGCTCGTTTTACAAGGCTTCCACCTCTACCAATGTGTGTTGTATAAAGCAAAAAGTACTATCACAATAAAATAAATCTAAGTAATATTTTGTGGTAGGTTTGACAATTTGTGTCAATTGCCTCATGGCCATGCCAGTTGTGTGTGGTGGTATAAAGCAAAGAGTAATATCACAATAAAATAAATATAAGTAATATTTTGTGGTAGGTTTGACGTCATTTGCCTCATGGCCATGCCAGTTGTGTGTGGTGAGATTTCTGAGGGTTGTATTTTGTATGCTCCAGTAATCTCAACTGGTGTACACCCACCCTGGGGGGGTCAATGAATTAATAGTAACGAGTTTTGTATTGGCTTGCTTGTTCTGAAGCCTGGTTTAAAACAAATGAAAAAAATTAATAAGAAAATTCTTTTTCTTTCAGGTGGGAGATGAAAGAAGGCGCAGATCTTGAAGATGAGGAGAAAGTTATGGTGGAACACTTAAAGAATGTGTATTTGACGCAGAGCCCTCCTGCCTCAGAGGATAAAGAAGAATAATTACTTTGACAGGTTTCGGGTAGCACCTTTTTCTGAATTCAACGTGATTAACTTAATGGCTTAGTTATAACTAAGTGGACTGGAAAGCTCAGGAATATGTATCTTGAGTGGGAGTTTCAAACTAAAGAACGTTCCCCACGTTATGGTCTACTCACCCCATCCAGGCAGCGATTGTTCACACATGCGTAAGGCAAGCAACAGTGTATGAAAATGTCAGTGTCACAAAATAAGGAGGGTATATTTTGGATCTGCGGAGGCATAAACCGGAATGAAAACCCAAGAACTGCTCTAAAAGTACAAAACTCACCCTGGACAAGATGCAACTTCGGGCACGTGCTCAGCAAACACCCCTGCTCTGCCTCCATCGAGTCGTTTTGGAGTCAGGGTCAGCCTGGCCCCATTAGTGCCCCCTTTCTCTCCCTTGGTACATGTGTTCTAGCTAGTTGTGGCATTAAATCACCCAAAATGCCCCAAAACCAGCAGGTATAGGCCATAGGTCGGCAGCCACCTGTGAGTTGCTCCGGGATGAGTACACATCCTTATTTCCAAGCAAAACTGCATCAGCTTTACTGCCCTCACAAATCCTAACTTAACACCCAGCCTGTGTTACGACGCCTTATAGAGAAACTTGTTAGCAGCTTTTAAAGTTTTCAGAAGATTGAAAACAGTTGTTCAAAGGCAGTGCTTAAAGGACTGTCTTAACAGTGAATTGAGAAAATGATAAAGAATGCAATATTTATTTCTGATAAATATAGCAAAATTTCATTTTCAAAGTAAGCCCTCTCTGATATTCAGATTTTTGAAATATTAAAGGCTTTTCTTTTCAGAAAAAGTTCTTCCTCAAAGATTAAAAATAGCTGAGTTAGACAGGTGGCTATTGCAACGATATCTTTTATACAGAAGGTGTGGTTAATATTTCTTTAGTTCTACAGAAAAAATCCGTCATTTTGCTATTTGTTCCTCGCATTGGAAGTCCAAGGGAACTCTTTCCTCTGCTGGATAAAGTTCTTGCTCAGGCTGCAATCTGAGCTGTAGCTATTCCTGTTCCCACCACATCTTCTCACAGATGCTTTTATGGACATAACTTGGACCCTTTGAATAGAAGAAAAGTGCATTTTTTTTTTTCCTAAAGAGTTCAGCAGCACCCTTATGGACATAACTTGGACCCCTTGAATAAGAGGAAAGTGCATTTTTTTTTTCCTAAAGAGTTCAGCAGCACCGTGGGTAACGATAACACTAATGCTGCTGTAGGGCTTAATCTGAAATGCAGTTTCTCCTCCTCTTAATTGCTCTTTTTAATTTTTTTTTATCGTGTGTATAAAATATCAGACCACTTAAAGTGAAAATGGGGACCACCACATCTTACAAATCTCCAAAGATCTTGTTACAACACGGCATCAACAAAAGGGCTGTGAGGCACTTGGCGCTTCAAAAATGCTAAAAATACTATTTAAAGAATAAAACAGACTTTTCCCTCTGCTGCTGATACAGCCCTTTCGGGTCATAAAGAAGTGATGTAGTGTAAAAACATTTTTTCCTTTGCTTTGTATTTCACCTTTGAAGATTTGTCGTGGTCACAAGGCTCAAAACATGCTACAGGGATTGCCCGTGATGGCAGGTGTGGTATTCCAACAAACGAGGCTCACATGCTCCAAGCCATACTAATAACCCGAAGCTGGAGCTCAGAATATCCTTTCTATTTTATCAAAATCGATTGTACATAATTAACTTTTCATACAGCCACATAAAGTGAATTTCTGTCTATGTGGTGAAACTCCCTGAAATACTTTTTTGTGAGAAAGCTCCCCTTCTGGGAAACACTTATTCTGAATGGGATAAACTTTGCAAGTGAAATAAGCTAACCCAGAATAAAACCTTCACTTATTTTAAAATGGGAATGTCCATATGGGGAGTTATTCCAAACTGTTTATTATCCTTTAGATTCACAACACACCTGGTTCTGGAATAATCTGTAAACAGTCATGTTAGTAAAAAAAAAAAAAAAAAGAAATTCTTTATGTCCCATCCTCCCTTCTCTCCCCGCCAAATTAATTCAGCAACAACCCACTGGGTAGCACTAGGACAATTTTTTTCTTTCTTAGCAAGAGTATATTCGTTATCTTTGCCGACGTGGAGCTGACAAGACAGAATAACTAGCCCGAATAAAAGCTGAACCTTTGCACAGTATTTTATTTGGATGTTTTTCTTACCCAAAACCTCTCTCCGTGTATGTCTTTCAGAGTATCTGAATGCACGCTAATGTGTGTTTGAAATTGAACTTGTCCCTCAATCCTTGCTGAGAAATAGCAGGGCTCGGTTTGTTGGCAATTTAGTAATCCTATTAACTGACCTTCGGGGTATAAAAGAAACATCACGTTGGCAACGCCACTTATGCTGAATAGAGACTTTTGCAACATTCACACTTGTTCAATAAAAATTACAGTAATAATAAGAGCTGTATAACTAAGATTGCTAAATAACATACCATTAATTTATCAAGACTGCTTACTTTAAACTTAAACCCTTAATTGAAGAAAAATGAAAGACACTTGAAAGAGCTGATCATTTTTACATTGTAAGTTGTGTAAAATTAGGAGTGCTTGCAAAAGGGATTGCTGCTTTCCTTGGCTTTTCTTAATAGAAAAATAGTTCTATATTCTTTAAAAAGTTCTGCTGATTCTAGAACCGGCTTAAGGTTAATTTCATTCTGGAGAGCAATGGGTCCATGAAGCTGCAGTGTTTTACCTGTGTGTGTTATGCCCTGGCTCTTTGTCACTACCTGTTGATCCAAGAATGTCTCCTATTTACGTTTAGCCCCAATAAATGACGGCAACAGGAGCCAGATTTGCTGGCTGCGGTGAGGGATCTCTGTTTCGTGACTCCTGCAGCCTGACCATGTTAACTGCTCCTGCAAAGGGAGTCAAAAATAAGGATTAAAGTCAGTTGTGGACAACAGACCTTTCTGAACTGGCAAAAGTTGTTCCTCGTTAGCTTAAAAAGAAGCTATTATATTTAAATAAATGAATTGGATAGGATAGCAGAAACTGGGTAACCTTGCAGTATCATTAATGCTTACATCTCATTCCCATTTAACAATTTATTATGCTTAGCACTTTTTACAGTACAGGCTTAAATGGGAAAGTTCATGGCATGGAATATTGCTAATTACATGTGTTTAGTATCCAGTTCAGAGTGCTCCAAACCTCGAAATCTTGGTGCTTGTGAAAGGCAGTTAATAAAATCAGAGGCAGGGCAGAACCGAGACAGCGTTAATAGTAATAGAAAGTCAGGGGAGAGCAAATTTTGGGAAAAGATGGGCACTGAGACATAGCCCTGCCTTTTAGTGACTGCTGCCCTGGCAAGCAGTGTCCCATAGATCGTGCTTTGTTCCAGGAGAGGGCTTTTGTAGACACCGCAGGCAACAAAGGTGTTTGTTCTGGAAATATGCACGGCGGCAAAGGGACGTTCTCTAATTCATCTCCGCGTCCTCACAGCGGTGCCAGGTAGGCGTGGGGCTGCCTTCTTCCAATTAGCTTCCTCTGACAGAAATATTCCATTTCCCTCTCAGCCGGGAGGTCTTCACAAAATGCTTCTGAGTCTTACCTACAGTAAGATACCAATTATGTGCTGATACACAGACTATTCTGTGGAACTCCTTAAAAACACGTGCGATCGTTTTCTAGTGACAGACACTATTCACACTTACAAGGCAATAGTCGCAAGACTGAGGAATTAGGCCCATTGCCCAATTAGGCATGAAATGAGAGAGAGTTACTTGATGGCAACGGGGAGAGTTCTAAGTGATAGTACAGATCTTGAGGAGGTCCTGGCTGGGGGAAAGCCACTTCTCTGTAGTAACTGTCCATGTTGTAAACAGGTTTAGATTGAACATTAGGAAGGAATTTTTCACCCAAAGAGTGGTCGGGCATTGGAACAGGCTGCCCAGGGAGGGGGTGGAGTCCCCATCCCTGGCTGTGTTTAAGGGACGTTTAGATGCAGTGCTGAGGGACATGGTGTAGGGGAGGACTTTGTAGAGTAGGGGAGATGGTTGGACTCGATGATCCCAAGGGTCTCTTCCAACCTAGACGATTCTATGATTCTATGATTCTATTTCAAGTGTAAGTGCCAGGAAATGGGCACGGGAGAGCATGCTTTTTGCTCTGCCTCCACAGAGGAGTCCACACTCCAACACTTGGGGAAGCAGATTAAACCAGTTGCCAGGCGGGTGGTACAAGAAAAGCAGGCAAGGTCTGGATCAGGTTGGGCATCACTGAGGGTCTCCTAGCACCTAGCATCAGTAAAAGGATGAAGGAACCAGGTTATTCCTCTCCAGCAAGAGCATTTGAGAAGAGGCCATTAGCTGTTACTGCAGCAAGTGAAACAAAAAATAGTAATATCTTTTCAGCTTTACCAATAAATAAATACATTGATTAAAATTACTTGTGTAAAACAAGCAGTCAGTCATTAGAGAACACCCGATGAGTGATTACCAATGCACCCACGTGTGTTCCTTAAGATAACTGTTAATGACATGTCTGTATATATTTTGTCCCTAGACAAATTCACTAGAGGACAGAAATATGGTTACACAAGCAACTTTGGTAAATTTGTAATTATCTAATATCCAACTACTTTATCTTTTGTTCCAAAAGCTGTGTTTTCTATGTAAAATGTCTAATAACTTTTGGATATTAGGCCTTCATAAAGAAATAGTATCAAATAGTGCTTCATCTTGTTTTGTTTTCCACCTCTATGTTGTCTTTCAGGCATCCTTGAAAAACCTACCGGTTAATGTTTGTTGTGATTTGGAATGTGGGTATTGCTGGCACTTGGTCACACATGGGTAAATAATTGGTTTTCTAGATGAGCTGTCATATGGACTTAAAGCAGTGTAGGTCCTCTGTGGGTAATTATTTCAGGTTTAGGGTTGTCTGAACACTCCAAATGTTCCACACGCATTTTGTTATACCTATGTTTTTCCATTGTTCTAAGCTACCTGTGTTACCTGGGATAGTGGGAGCTATTTGTATGCATTGCTCTTTGTGAGTTATTTATGTTTTTTGCTTAAACAAATGTATTTTGCCCCAGGTTTTATTTCCTTTAAGTTCTCCGGACGTTTAATTTACACTTGGAAATCCATAGCACACCTGTGTTCACAACCTGCACACACCTATTGACAAACCAATGAAGCCTATGCCTTCTCAAACCTGATGCAGAGTCTTTGAGAACCAAAAATTTAATAAATGCAAATTTCAAACCAGCCACCTGCAAGCTCATCATTCAATCAGTGCACCAGTCATTCCCACTTGGAGTTTCACCTCTCTGTATATTCCAGAAATAGCACCTTTACGGAGTTGTTTGCCTCTGTTCTGGACTATTTATTGGTATATTCCGTTCTGTAGAACAAACATGCCTCAAATGGGGTTTATTATGTAGATTAGGATGATACTTTCCCTCTGGAGAATGGAAGGAACACTGGGGAGGTACGAGGTTGAAAAGGGAGATGGTTTTTGTTGTGGGCTGTGGAGCAGCCAGCAGATTACTCTCTGCAGTAAACCAGACACGGCTTTGGGATTGGAATGATGTTGGCAGGAATCCTGCTGCAGGTGGGTATTCACCTCAGGAAACTGACGGGAGAACGTGTGCTGTGAAGACCTTCTTCAGAGGCAAAGGGATCAGGTCTCTTCAAACAGCAGCAGTTTCTGGCCCAGTCGAGGCTCCCAAATTTCACACACACTGTCCAGGTTTGAGGTAAAACCGGATCGATTTTGTGTTCTGTAATTTTGCATTTTAGTTAGGCCTTTTCTAACTCTCTGAAATTAACGGCATATTGTGGAGAAAACTGTTCCTTCTCAGAGTGATAAGACCAATGTTTGTGCTACATGCCAGGGAATGGTGAGCAGAGAGGCCCTTGCTTATACTTATTGCTATAACAACCAAGGTCAGCCAATTTT